TTATTATTATAATCACCGTGAGCTACAGGGACAAAGCTTTCCTCTTTGAGTTTCAGTCATACAATGATCAATCGCCCAGCCTCCACCAGTGCACATCTTCCATCATCAAGAACTCCAGTCTTCCTCCCTCCCACCCCTTCCTCTTCCTCTATGGCAGACAACCTTCCCCCATATTCTTTTGTATTGCCTGTTATGAATAGCATAAGATGTTGGGTGGCCGCGAGAGCAGCCACATGCTCCTGGAATTCTGAAATTTTAGATAATTAGGGTCTGGAGAAATCTCTGCAGTGAACTGCTCTGTTTGGAGATTCTTTTGTGTGTCTCTGGATCCTGGCTGTTAAAGAGCTTAAGTAGCAGCCAGAGGCAGTTTGTGGGTGTGACCTCCAGGGCCCCATGGGGACAGGGGTGGGGGAAAGGGGAGCGACCTGAGAACTACCTGCCCATCCCCTATCCCTATCCCTTGAGGCCTGAAGTTTGTTGTCACTGAACCTTTGTACCTGCATCTCTCACTGGGTTCTGGAAGTTGACAGCCACCGGGGTTTTTTAGGGGGCATGTGGAGGGACGACTCCTGCCCCCGTCTGAGGAACTCCAGTGAAGCCAGCCTGGCCCAAAGTCTGGAGGCTTCTCTGCAGTGAGCTGCTCCGTTCAGAGATTCTTTTGTGTGTCTCTGGATCATGGCCCTTGTTTCCATCTTTTCCAGAGAAATGAACTATTGGCATTTGCCCTGCAGGGTGCACCCACTCACCCACAGCACACCACCAGCCCTAACTGTGACTTTTGATCTCTTTAAGAGATGTTGGGTCCCTGAAATAAAGGCCAATAAATGAGCTTGTAATAGCTGAGCTGGAGGTGGTTTGTGGGCATGGCTCTCACAGACCAAACTTTTGGTCATTTAATTTCCTAGTAAACTTGACCCCAAGTTGTTGGGGTCCGGCCAAAGGCACAGCAGCAATTTTGGGGTATCAGGAAGCCTGAAGCCACCATCAGGCTGCTGATGCACTCGCCCCACAGATACAGGTTGACCTGCTGGCGGCACCATACCCCCACACCTCCATTCTTTCTTATTAAATTCCCTTTTGCTTAGACCTCCAGGTACTATAACCCCTCGTTGTATTGTCACCCATGTTTCTGAACCCCATTAAAATTCTGAGCCCCACCTCAATCTGCTTGCCCCTGAATCTTACAGGATCCTATGAACAGAGATTATCAACTTTACACAGAAACCCTGGCAAATCTTACATAAAAACAAAATCGATTTTGTTTTCATATGGCCTTTTCCTGAAACCGATTTCTGATGGAATGATCTACAATTGTAGCTAGTTAGATTGAGAGCTAAATTCATAGGGGAAAACTGTGGACCCCAGTTGTAGATCCTCATAATACCCTTGAAGAAGCACAAAGGGAAAAAGGGAAAAATTTGTGTGCCTGTTACTTGAACTGAGGTGTTTGTGGGGTTTGTCTGGTTTGGTTTTGCCATGTGTAATGTGGTTAGAGATAAAATTCGGCTGAAACATCACCACACTTTTGCACTCAGAGCATCATCAGAGCTTAGAATACAGTTTGTCAAGTCGGAGATATAGTATAGGGGTTTGCGTTGCACACAACGCAGGTTCGATCCCCTGAGTACAGAGCCAGGAGTAAGCCCTGAGCACCGCTGGGTCTATCCCCAAAAGGAAAAGAACACAGCAGCATCTGCAGCAGTATCAGCTTCACAGAGAGTGTATCATATCTGGGAAAAGATGGGTTTGTATATGGTTAGTACTTTGATGCCATCCTGAGTGTGTGGAAGCCACAGAATTTGTGGAACCACAAGTAAACAACTAGAGTTCAGACTTTTCCTCTAGTCAACAAATATCTTTTTTTTTTTTCATGGCCAGAAATATAGTTCAAGTAATAGTGCAAGACTTGCATATGTGAGACCCTGAGCCTGATTCCAGACAATGCAGGGCCCCACCTCCACACAGCACCACCAGGAGGGGCCCCAGGACCACAAAATAACATAAGGGCTGGGAATATGACCCAATTCCCAGCATGCAGACCCCCCCATACTATATATGGGCGTATCCCTGGTCGGCCCAAAGCATGGTCACAGTACCCAGGGGACGACCGCAGGTTAGGCCCAGCACTGAAACATTAGTCGGCACCAAGTATCCCCAGCCTAACTATCCTCATGATACTAAACGGTTCATGATCTCCAACCACCACTGAAAAGGCTACTATAAAAACAAATAAACAAAATGCCTATAAAAATGCTTAAATAAATATTTCCATTGGAATGCCAGAATATATTTTCTGTAACTCATTCTGCCTCTAACACATATCACTTATCTATTTCTGCCATCTCTGTACTCTCTGAAAGCATTTGGGCTTGCAGCAGGAAAAGAAGTGAGCAAAAGTGCTTATGATGGGCTGGGGAGAAAGTTTTGGGGGGGAAAAAATGTACAGAGGAAATCTGAGATAGGTAGAATTTCCCAAACTTAACCTTCACAATTTGTACTTTACAATTCATCCCAACAGCCCATCGAGGCTGGTGCTATGATAGATCCACTTTCTGGATGAAAATACTGAGGTATTTGCCAAAGATTGTACAACCTTGCAAGGGGAATAGGATTGGAACTTGACTCAAGTGGCCACTCTCACCTCTCTTTGGCTCCTGGAAAAGTGCCTCATTCTGATGCATGTAGAAGGGGTTTGAGATGCAGACTCCTTTGCAACCCACATACATCAGCCAAAAAATATATGCAAATAGCTATTTCACTGGTCACGCTTGCCCCAGCTGGACAATAGCACTGCACTGTAGCACTGTCCTCCCAATGTTCATTGATTTTCTCGAGCGGGAACCAGTAACATCTCCATTGTGAGTCTTGTTGTTACTGCTTTTGGCTTATCGAAAATGCCACGGGGAGCTTGCCAGACTCTGCCATGTGGGCGGGATACTCTCCGTAGCTTGCTGGGCCCTCTGAGAGGGACGGAGGAATTGAACCCAGGTCAGCCGTGTACAAAGCAAATGCCCACCCGCTGTGCATCACTCCAGCCCAGCTGGACAATAAGGGATAATTAATATGCTTATCCCTGGGAGAGAACAAGGCAGAGTCTCCTACCCTATGCCTGACGGTCTCCACCAGGGCCCAACAGCTGAAGACCACCGAGGCCCAGCCAAGGCCATGCTGGGAGCACTCTCCACACACCTGGATGAGCCTCACGCATAAAAGAACTGACAGAGGAACCCAGGTGTGTGGGACCTGGGGCTGAGATCTCCAAGCCTGCACAGTTTGGGACTGGACCTGCCAGTAACTAGACAGTTACACCCACCAACTACCGTGTAACCCCAACAACGGCCAGGATCCAGAGATCATCACACTCAGCTCCTGGGAGAGAACAAGGCAGAGTCTCCTACCCTATGCCTGACTGTCTCCACCAGGGCCCAACAGCTGAAGACCACCGAGGCCCAGCCAAGGCCATGCTGGGACCACTCTCCACACACTTGGATGAGCCTCACGCATGAAAGAAGTGACAGAGGAACCCAGGTGTGTGGGACCCGGGGCTGAGATCTCCAAGCCTGCACAGTTTGGGACTGGACCTGCCAGTAACTAGACAGTTACACCCACCAACTGCCGTGTAACTCCAACAACGGCCAGGATCCAGAGATTATCACACTCAGCTCCCGGAAGCGCGACATCTTATCATCTTATCATCTTATCATCTCATTCCTAATTTGTTCAAACTGGCAGGCTACCAAATGTAACATGCCCACACGGCAGAGTCTGGCAAACTCCCCGTGGTGTACCCAATATGCCAAATACCAGTAACAATGATGGGTCTCATTCTCCTAACCCTGAAAAAGCCTTGAATATGGCACTTTAAAAAAAAAATCTCAGGGCTAGGACGAAGAAGACGTTACTGGCACCTGCTCGAGGCAATCGACGAACAACAGGGTGGTCGTGATCGTGATCCCACACAAAAGAGAATAAAGCACAGAGCAACACTAAGAATAGTGTCTAGTGCTCAGCCCAGCTAGAGAGCTTTGAACAGACTCAAAGTCAACCTTTTAAAGGCTGGGTAGGACAACAAAGCCTTCCAGCAGGCAGTGGACTCCCTCTATTCAATGAGCCTCTACTATGAGCCAGGCACCTAGTTAGTATTATTGGCCTGGGGGTCACTCCCAGTTGGCGCTCCAGACTTACTCCTGGCCCAATGCTCAGTAATCATGCTGGACAGTACTCAAGAGGCTATATGCAGTGTTGGCTGCATGCATGGCAAGTGCCTTATCTTCAGCACACTCTCTCCAGCCCCTAATCAGTATTTTAGATGAATTTTCTAACGAAAGCTATTCATTGCCCCTAAATTTTGATCATGTTTTGCTCATTTTGCCACACTTGCAAGGTGCTGCTCACCTGGTGCAGAGGCACCCAGACATTCAGACTCAAGAACCCATGAATTCTCCCCTTCTCTACACTACTGAAAGTTAGTGAATCAACCCCCTTGGTCTATCAAAACAGTGATGTTCAACCATCAGTGACTTAACTTTTTACTGCTGACATGTAGTTCAGAAGGAAATTGACTCATCTTCACAATAGATCTATGACTTTGACTTGATGGGCAGGACAACAGTTAAGACAGCCAGCTTAGTCATTCATTAAATTAAGGGCTTAAAAGAAGAGGACCATAGGCCTAGCCTTGGATATCCTATTAAAAACTGTACCATTAATTGTAGCACTGTCCTCCCATTGTTCATTGATTTGCTCAAGTGGGTCCAGTAACGTCTCCATTGTGAGACTTCTTGTTACTGTGTTTTGGCATATCAAATACGTCACGGGTAGCTTCCCAGGGTTGCTGTGCGGGCGAGATACTCTCGGTAGCTTGCTGGGCTCTCCAAGAGGGGTGGAGGAATCGAACCCAGGTCAGGTGCATGCAAGGCAAATGCCCACCAGCTGTGCTATCGCTCCAGCCCATCTGGACAATAAGGGATAATTATCATGCGTGCAAGGCAAATGCCCTACCCACTTCTTGGCCTTTTGGCTAAGATCAAGTGTAGTACCATTAATTAATTCAGTAAAACAAATATTAGTCAGTTATGATGAATAAGCTCAAGAGTTTTCGAAGACAGGCGTCTTTTTGTGGCTATCTCTCTCTCGGCATTCCTCACACAATCATGGAGGTGATGAACCAGTTCCTCCTCAATGTTGTCAACAATGACATCTTCCCATGTTGCCGCAATAGTGCCAAAGAGTTCCCAGTTGGTGGTCGTTTTGGGCATTCTCTTCTTAAACTTTTCAGCCTTTTCTCCCCACTCCGTGAAGTAGAATTTTGCAGGAAGGAGATGGTGGTCCCATCCCGTTTGAATTTTGAGACAACAGCAACATCGGTCAGGCAAAACTGTCAAATGAATATGATGTGGTCAATGTTGGTGTGGAACCGTCTACCAGGAGACTCCCATGTCCAATGTTTAGATTTGGCCTTCTGGAACTATGAGTTACCATGGATGGTGGTCGACATGATGAACTCAGACAGTCTCTCACCCTGTTCATTCCATTCTAAGCCATGGGTCCCAATGTAGAGTTGTTTGGCTGATCTTCTTGGTTCTATCTTGGCATTAAAATCACCGACAATGATCTTGTAGAAGGTGTGGTCTTCTTTATAGAACTTCTCCAGCTCCGTGTAGAACTTCTCCATTTCTCCTTCATCATAATTGGATGTTGGTGTGTAGACAACGAAGGTAGAAACTGCCAGCAGTAAGCCACATCTATTCAAGTGTAATCATCTGATTCGGGTTGTTAGGCATTCGAATGAATTAATGCTCATGGCCAAGTTTGTGTTGACAAGGACACTGACTCCACCAATGCCTCTTTTGTCACATGTTCCAAGGAAAAGTTCTTCTCCAGTGTTGAAAACGGTGTGATGTGATTGATGCCTTCTCGTCTTGGTCAAACCAATGATGTCATACTTGATCTTTCACACTTGTACCATCAGATCCTCCATGGATGCATCCATGCCAGCATATGTACATTGAAAATACAGACAGTCATTTTTGTCCTTCTTCATTTTGGCAGCCTAGTTCGGCCTTGAGATTTTATCAGCCTTTCCTTCCTCATTCTTCTTAACGCTGCCATATTGGTGGTTCTTTCAGGGTCAGGGGAATGAGACCCATTGTATTTACTGGTTTTTTACCTGCCCATTCTGCCTTTCTCCTCATTTTATCTAACCCGTGCTGCTGTCATATCCACTATCAATAAAAACTGATAGGTCGGGAGTCAGTCCTGAATACCACCTGGTATGACCCCTAAACAACAAAAAAAAACTGTTCCTTGTTCTTTATAGCATCAATTTGTATTTCCAGTCCATCCTGAATGTTGTGGAAATGAAACAATACAGTGAATTTCAAAAAAGCATCAAACTAATGGATCTGTTAATAGGAAGAAACTTCAGCTCTGGGGAGCACAGAAGTGAACATGAATGTTTTGTGTCCTGAGTACCTCATTAATCAGGGTTTGACTAGTGTCTACCCAGATTCTGGGAAGGATAATATAATAATCATCACAGCTGTTTGAAACAAGTTCAGAAGTTGCTGAACTTGAGAGAAGGTAAACTTTTCAGTGTTTTCATTCAATACACTTTTCTTCTTTGAAGAGAACAGAAACTAGTCAGAGCTTAACACACATTGAAACCTTGCCTAGAAATGCAGCTGTTCCAGTTCTACAGTCATTCATTCTGTGATGGATTTATGAATTACATTCGTTTTGTTTGTTTGTTTTAATTTTTAGAGCCACAGCTGGCAGTGCTCAAAGCTCACTCCTGTAGTCAGGGATCACCCCCAGAAAACTCAGAGATCATATGAGGTGCCAGGGATCCTAGGTAAGCTAAATGAGCTACTCTTTATACTATATCCCTAGTACCTTGGATTACTGTAGCCCATACTTAGCTGTCTGTCAAGCAGATTTTACTTGTGAGAGACTGGGTAGACATTTAAAAAAAAAAAGTTCTGCCCTCAAATAGTGTGCCTTCTAGTTGAAAGAGACAGTACAATTTAAACAGCCTAAATTGGACAAGTACCAATTATGTGATTTTTGCTTTCATAAAGGTCAAAAGAAGGAAGTGATTCTTTTGTCTTTAGGTTTTATATATATATACATATATGTATATGTACACACACACACACACACACACACTACTGGAGCCAGAATCAGAGTATAGCAGGTAGGATAATTGCCTTGCACGCAATCAGCCAAGGTACATCCCCGACATCCCACACGGTCCTCTGAGCATCTCCAGGAGTGATCCTGAATACAGAGCCAGGAGTAACCCCTGAGTATTGCTGGATGTGGCCCCAAAACAACAACAAAAAGGATATAAAAATTATATATACTACTGTGATATGTAAGGGTTAACTTGCAGTTTCACGGTGCTCCCCATGTAATTCTTTGAATTAGAAATGCCTTATCTTGATGTATTGTTGTAGTGATGGGAAAATCAGAAACATAGTAGGTAACTAAGCACAGATAACCAGGGGACAGCCAGAGGCAGGAGCTCCAAGTGACCTGTTCTGGGAACTGGGCAGAGATGAATAGGTTATAAATCATAAGTTATGATTCAGAACAGAATGACCCAAACCCACCTGTTATCTAGGCAGGAAGGGAAGTGGAACAATTAGTAGATTAATAAATGTCTCTACGGGACCTAAAAGAGAATGTATGCATCACAAAGATTCCCAGCAACAAGGACCCTGCTCCTGCTAAGTTTAGTGGTGTGCCCCTCCTGCCTCAATATACCTCAGTGTATCGTAACTACACACCACTCAAGAAACTCCCCTCCTGTGCCTTCTCTTTGTCTCACCATTGTTGTTATTGCCAGAAAAACTCCTATAAAAAGTGCTCTGTACTCCTGTTCTGGGCTGAAATTTCAGGTGATTGCCTAGTTGTGATTCATCTTCACGTGAAATTATTAAATCTCCTTGCTTTCTCACTTAAGTATGCTTCAGTGTGATTAAATAAATTCTGTTACAACATTACAATATATTCAAGACTCCAGTTACCTGATTTAAAGGGAAAATTGGAAGATCTCAAAGAGTAATATATATATACATGTAATATTATGTATACATATTTTTAAATATACATGTTTAAACATTATATATCACAACCATCCTGTTGTTCATCGATTGCCTCGAGCAGGCCCCAGTAACGTCTCCTTCATCCTAGCCCTGAGATTTTTAAAAAGTGCCATATTCAAGGCTCTTTCAGGCTTAGGAGAATGAGACCCATCATTGCTACTGGTATTTGGCATATTGGGTACCCCACAGGGAGTTTGCCAGACTCTGCCGAAACATTATATATAGACATATAATACATATATGTATGTTTGGGACCACCTCTTGTTAAGCACAGGGCTTACTCCTGATTCTAGGCTCAGGAATCACTCCTGGCAATGCTCAGGGGACCATAAGGGATCAAACCATGGTGATTTGCAGGCAAAGCAAGTACCTTAATCCCTGGACTATTTCTCTGGCCGACAATTATATTTTTGAAATGACTGCCAAAGAAAAAAATATTTTAAGGCCAGGTTAAGCTCCTGGCTGACCCACTGGAAACTTAAGGCAGGGGATATATGTGCTAATGATTCCCTGGTATCTCCTACTGCAACTGACATTCCCAGACGGCCTCCATGTTGTTAGAATATGATGAGTGAAGTCCTTGAAGATGGAGCTGAGAGGTGAGGCCTTAGTATCTGTGGCCCCAAGCCCTGGTTTGTTCTTTCTGCCTTCTCCTATTCCACTGTTCAACTCCTCAACTGGGGCACCCAGTTGGAACCTTGATCAAATTTCTGTAATAAAGACTCTGTATACAAAAAAGAAAAAGGAAAGAAAATGTTCTTCATAAGCAAAATGGGCATCATAGAAGTACCTCTTCCAGGATTTGTTTTCAGGATTACATTAATTCATTGGGGGGGGTTGGTTTGGTTTTTGGTTTTTAGGTCACACCTAGCAGTACTAAGGGGTTACTCCTGGTTCTGTACTCAGGAACCACACCTGGCGGTGCTGGGGACCATATAGGATGCTGGGCATTGAACCTGTGTCGGCCATATGTAAGATAGACACCCTACCCACTTGTACTATTGATCCACCTGTGCATTAATTATTAAAAAGTACTTAAAAGTTCCTGTAATCTAAAAATAAAGTTCGTATTTTGTTCTTTCTTCAGCCCTCTCTTCCTCTCTTCTTCCCCTTCTTTCTCCCTTTCTTCTCCTGCTTCCTTCTCTTCTTCCTCCTCCTCATGAATGTGTCTGCAGCTAATGCACAGAGCCCTTCCCTTTTCTTCACTGTAGTCTTATCACCCCTGCCTTTATTCTGTTCCTCAGACACCAGCAAGTTCCCTCCCTCCAACCACCAACCTTAGATATAAGCTACTCCTTCTTTCAGGGACATGCCCCCTCCTTCAAAAGATCACCTCCTCAGAAAGACCTGCACTCCCCATAACTGACACCGCTCCTCTCCTCTCTTATAAGCACCTTTAAAAGGAGCTGTGTGCTGGGCCGGAGCAGTAGCCCAGCGGGTAGGGTGTTTGCCTTGCAAGCAGCCAACCTGGGTTCGATCCCCGGCATCCCATATGGTCCCCCAAGCACCGCCAGGAGTAATTCCTGAGTGCAGAGCCAGTAATAACCTCTGAGCATCGCTTGGTGTGACCCAAGAAGCAAAATAAAATTTAAAAAAATAAATAAAAGGAGCTGTGTATATTTTTAGAGCTTATCTATCCCCAACACCTGGGAAAGAATAGTAGGAGCTCGGTAAATACTTAATGCTCCTTGAAGTGAAACAAACAAATGCCTATTAGGCACTTCCAACAGAGCAAAGTAAAGTATCAAAGTTCTTGCTACACAGAGGTAGATCATTTTCTCTAATTCACACAGTCTATTAGAAAGATCCTGAAGCATTAACAAATGCTGTGTTAGCTTTCAGGCTGGCTTCTGAAGTTGGTTTGCGAATTTCCCCTCTGCTTGAGGGATTTCGCTATGGAGACAGCTTCGTCCTTCGTCCTGTCCTATCTATGACCCATGTCTCACATACAGGCTTTTCTTTAGTGGTGACCAGAGTTTACCCAAGGGCTGAGTTTGTATTGAAAAAGTCTGACTCACACTTGGTTTCTGCTTTTTTTTTTCTGTCAGATTTTCCTCTTGGCACTCAACGGGCCTCCATGCCATTT